ACATACAAAGTGTTTGGCGAGATGGCTGTACTCATGTCTTCAGGTGGTGATTAGTTGTCATTACACTGACACATTTATTCCATAAAATGTTCTCGAGCAACAAGCCGTGTCAGTTGTGGACAGAAACCCAATATTTCGCACACCATATCCGCCTCTATTATCAGGGGAATGGTGATTCCCCTGATTATCCCTATCTGTCTATCATGATAATTATTTACATAATGTCATGTTCTTATAAGACGATTCGTAACATAGAAAGCGTTTTCGTGTCATGAAATAAGTATCTAATTACGATCTGTAAGTTTCGTTACCATTATATAACATGGTTTTTACAGAATGCTCCAGAATAATTAAATAAAATAAATAAAAACATTTCAATAAACTAAACCATTACATACGTCCGCATTGGAACTTGGTGAATTAGCGAATCTGTTGCAAGTTTTTTTTTAAACGCTCCCGTTAGCTTCTTGGCAAAGTTGACAGCTGTGAGCAACTGATAGACAAGTGCCCATCAAAGGCGCTGCTGCTGGGTGTACATATTTTTGGGACACCCTGCATTTAATTAAATAAGATAAATAATGATTCTTGCCTCTGTTCAATGTAACATCCCAACCGCTGATCTGCTTAATAAGCAGTAGAATTTATGATTCTTTACGACATAATCGACTACGTGTTCTTTTGATTTGCTCTGACAGATTTAAAATGCGTCTAGAGTAGATGGAAAATAAGCCTGATGAGGTAAGCGTTATGGGAGAGGACACGTAGATCTCACTCTCGTTGAACCTTAGATGAAGTTAGCGCTGCTCTGGCAGAATTCTTTCTGCTTATCACGACAAAAATAATAATCCGCTTTAGATTGTTTCTAGCTTCGCAACACCGAGTAACATGTCCAGACGTGAAGACCTACAAGCCATACATTTACTCAGATTGAAACCAACAACCAACCTATGAAGACTTCCGTGTTTAAAAATACTGCCTTCTTGTTTTTCATGTAGCGGAGACTGTAAATTCACTCCCACGTCACACGTGGTATCCGTTCTAAATTTGCTGCGAACCTAGGCTTTGTAAATTTGAGAATGTGGTTTGTTTTAATTTTCAGTAAAATACCTCTGGAGCTTGAATGCCACTTAAAATAATCAGTGAATGATAGTGATCAGATTGACTTCACCAACATCATTTAGGTGACTAGATTCATGATTCTTCATTCAGCAGGCGATAATCACATGAACGAGACATTCCCATAGGAAACAACGACTTATCCCTTCCGTCCACAAAATGCCTATCTTGAGCCAACTTAATCCATGTTATATCATACAGCCTGTGTGTCTAAGACCAATTTTAATATTATCCTCCTAACTATGCATACACTTTCGACTAGTTGGCAGAAGGTGTTTCGATGTTCATGTGCCTCTGTATGTGGATACATGTTAGATTTTACGGTAGTGATTATTCTATTAATAAGAACAATGGATTTAAGTAGCAACTTATTCATTCCGATACTAATAGAATAGAACGAACAGCTCAGAAAACGAAGCATGACTGTAAATCGCTACACTGCAGTGTAATGAGAAGGAAATTGGGCTTCATCTTGACACTGAATCAATACGAGGATATAACATAACATAAAATTATAGTATTAAGTTATATGGGGTATATGGGACATTACGACTTGTAAGATGCAAGTGTGGAGATATTGTTATCATACATTATTTATTGTACAGTGAATGTTTGTTAATTGGCCGAATAATGAATCTTAAGCGGATAACAGAAGTTACGAAGCCATTTCTTCTCAACACGAAATCGAACTCATAATAATAATAATAATAGTATAATGTTTTAAGCAAATAGTTAAAATGAAAACGAATAGGCTTCAAACTTACGAAATTTTTTATGGTAGCTGTGAGTTTATTAATTGCAGGAAACATTGTGAACAATATATATGTCATATTGATAGTTTCAAATGTGCCTAAAATACTAACTTGGAGATATAAAATTGTAGTTTTGAGTATAAGAGGTAACACGCAAGTCTGAAGACAAATTCCATGATGCTGTAAATTAAAGTATGTAATACATTATATTTTACTTTATTTAATGCTAATTTCGTTTTCATGCCGTAATTTGACGAATGACGATCTGGAAACTAAGTCATGCGTATAATTGTTAAATTTTGTATCGAGGGAATGTGACTTTGAGAATTTAGATGAAGTGTGTTTAAATTAATTTTGGCCTGCTTATTGTGTGGTTTGGTTGTTTTCTGTGTTGGCAGCCGCCAATAAGTATTACAACTGAGTGAACTTCAAACCTGTAAAGAACTAATTAAACATCAATACATATCATGTTTGATTTAATAAAATTGAACGAACTAGTCTGTGTGCTGAAAAGGCAATGTAACCGTGAATTGTTTTGTGTGTTGTTACTGAGTAATGCTGTGTGTTCTCTGATAAAGTTGAAACTGTCTTTTGCAGGCTTTTGGCAGATACTACTAAAACAGGAAAGAGAATTCTGTTGTTTTTATGGAGCGATGCTTGACTTGTACCGGGAAAACATTATAGCGCTAGGCAGTGAGTCATGCAGCTCCTGGCAGGAGTCGGAAAGTGACAGTTGCGTTCAACAAAGTCTACAAGTGACTTTAGGAAAATATACAGAGGTTTTACTGCCCTTGTTTTGTGGCATATTTCTTTAGATTTTTATTAGAGGAAGCTAACGAAAGAAAAGAAATGCAGTCTGAATTATATCGCGTGGAATCAACACCGAGACCCCGATGACAAATGTAATTTAATGAGATGTACTTAGTTGCTTCTTAACTTTTCGAAATGATATCGAGTGACGGAAACATTCGATCTGTTATTGAGATTTGATTAGAATTATCCTAATGTGTGATATTGGCTGTCATCGAACGTCGCAGCGGAGTAGAGACTACTCCTGCCTCGTATTCGGGAGGTCCCGGGTTAAAAAAATCTCGGCCCTGAGACCGGCCGTCCTAAGTCTTTTTCGTGAGTTTTCTCAGTCCATCCTGGCAAATTTCATGGCATACCATAAATTAGGCCATAACATTTTCATTCATATATTTTTTCGTTCACTAATAATTTTTTCTCATTGATTCTATATAGTCTACGCTACAGGTAGTGTAGTTAAACAATAATAATAATCCGTGGCGTAAGAGCCCTCTGAGAGCCAAAGCCGACTAGCTTGACTGCTGGCCTCACGTTCACATGCCTAAGTAGAGGTGAACGATCATCCAACCAGATATAGGGTGACGTGTGGTCAGCACGACGAACCCCCAGCCATTGCTAGTTTTCATGACCGGATTACGCAAATAAATAAATAAAATATTGGCGTCTATGCTTCTAACTGAAACGGGTGCTGTGTGACTAAACTTACACTACACTCATAGAAAAATACGCATTGCAACGGCGACACTAATTAATTTTGAATTGTCATGATGACCGTGTTCTGGGTTGTAGCTCCATGTAGTCTGGTAGAAGTTCACCGACATTTCAGAAGTCCTTGTTACCTTTATTATCCTCATT